AATTAGGTGCACGTCAAAAAAAATTTCGAGTTTCACTTGATGACGCTATCTCCTCTAGACGCCAAGAATATTCAGCCGATGATTCAGTACTTGTTAATTTGTCAATAATTAATTGATTGAGTATATAACGAACTTTACGAGCAGTAATTTCGATAATTAACTTGTGTGATGGTTCTTTAATTTCTAATTCCTTCACATGATAGAATAAACTGTAAATATTTTCCGACACACAATGGCCTATTCATTGTGCGCAACAGAAATAAATACGAAACGATAATTTAGAAAATTTTATTGTGAACAATAGCGCGTGTCTGTCGTAATTTAGCAACACCTTAGTTATGCCAATTAAACTGAGATTTAGACGCTGCTTGAGCTTGGGGATTAAACTAAAAATTGGAGCACCTTCAGACTACAAAAGAAGACTAAACAATGCTTGCACTACAGTAATAATAACATCGTAAAAGTCGGTTTCGATTTGAGGAAAGTGCCAGGCTTCTTACTCAGTGGACAAAGTTTTTGATCACGAATTGTCGATAAATTAACTAAGTAGGTTGCGAAAAAAGCGTAATAGAAAGTGGTTAATTAAAACAATAGGAATGATGTTGTTGATGATAAGCCAACAGAAAATGTGTCGATTTTTTTTGGTTGCGAGTTTTTGTTGTGCATATTTCATTCAATAACGCTTCTGTTTCGGTTGCGTGGACTTCGGTTTCCTCTTACCCCTTGTATATAATTTGCTGTCATGCTTTCAAGCTTGTTGCCTTGTTTGTCATTTAAGTTTTATCTACATAATAATTTATGAGTCCATTTTATTGTGGTGTTTAACAGGCGTTTATTTCTTCAAGTTTGTTTAGAAAACGAACGAATCTCTTCTCCTTGTTGGGTTGTATCCTACTGCCGTAAAAGCCCGAAAAAAATAAATATGTCAGTATTTTTGAGTAAACTACTAGTGAATAAATCCAAACAAACCGACTTCAATTATCCTTGAGCTAAATGTTTATCCATTAGACGATTTAATTTAATGTTTACGTTTTCAGGCAAGTTGAAGCTCAGGACGATTTCATTTTTTCTATACGCGCAAGGTTGAAGGTTATTTTGGAAAAATGTCGATTTCAGGACAATGTAGCATTATCAACAAAAATCACTGACAACATTCAGCCGTTCCCCTCACAATACATGTAATGGATTAGAACGTATCACCACATCGTGTCATCACAATGTGAAGGAAAATATTTACAGACAACGGAAACCTCACAAAAGACATAAAATATTAAAGAAATCAAAACAGAAAAATGTGGCCAGAAAAAGGAAATGCAAACTGAAATCGATATCCACAAAAGAGATGTAACCGATTCGTCGGAAACGGAATTAAATTGAAGCTACTTTGACATTATTACTAACGATTAGGTGAGCTGGGAGGTTTCACCTGATTATCGACTAAAACTCCAAACTAAAACACATTATAAAAAGTGAAATATGTTGTGTAAACTAAAAATTAACGATAATAAAAAACGGCGTCAAGTGGAAACTGGAAGTTCGATTGGTTTGTGCGACGTGCGATTGCTTGTATAAATAATTCACTTTGCTTGTTACCGTGATTATTATTCGAATACAGTTCGGAGAATAGACTCCTTCGCATGAAATCGCAAAATTACCCTATATCGCGTTTGCAAATCTCGTTTTCGCTCCACATCGAACATAACTTTGAAAAACCGTAATCACGCGGCTTCGCGTATAAAGGCCTTTATTTTTTCTGGCATAATAAGCGATTTAAAAACGTAATGTTGAAATTCAGTTAACATGAGGGTGGACAGATAATAATCACAATTATCAAAGCTTTTGTTCATTACCGGTCTGTGTGCTTTAAGCGGGACCGTATCAGCGGTTTAATTAAGAACAATTTGTATAAAACAACGATTTTTTCAAAATTTTATACATACCTGGACGAATTCAACGCGACTCAGTTAAACTCAATTTGCGCCTCATTAGTTGTTGTTTATTACTTTAAACCGATTCGGACAGGCACAGGAGATCTTGATAAAATTAATTTATGCAGTTTATTAGTAGAAAAAACAATTTCAACAAAAAGTATTCGCCAAAAATTACATTCCACTTACGCGCGGCTATTATGAGGGAATTTTTGAATATTTTCGTGACATTAAAGTGATTGTTGTTTAGATAAAGAAGACAAGATGATATTTGCAGTTATTTGGGCGGAAGCGGGAGAAAAGGGCTTTTCGTACATCGTTAGAAACACAGGAAATAGAAGGTTAAAAACTTCAAATAAATAAAATTTATTTAAAATTTATTCAAAACAAATTTCGACCGGTTATTATATAACTGTTTACAGATAAATGGCTCAAAATAATTAAATATTACAACAAAATGCTTTAAATGTTTCCATTTTCATTATCGAGCTAAAAATTGAATAAATTAATTTTCAAGAGTTAAAATGTTGACCACTTTGGACAATTATAGGATTTAATATTTATACGATGCCGGCTATTTTAATGGGTAAAAATTGCAGAAAATTAATACAGATGATTTACAATTGTAATGAATCACAGTCCGCGTTAATAAAATTAATTTAAAACACTACAGAACAAACACTGGTAAGGCACGCCTACAAGCCACTCGCCCCGCCCCTATATTTTTTGCTCCGCCCTTTTCTTAATAGCATATAAAAATAATATCATATATCGTATTTTTCGTGTTTGTCCGCCACACTTTTACAGTTTTTCATATATAAAATAATGTGGTGTTTCCACGGTGTGTGGACGTATCTTCGGTCTGTTTTACGTTTTAACGATTTGTGTTTCCATAAAAAGTCCTCATGACAGGTACTTTTACACTTATAACGAGTAGTATTATGGCTATCGGTATTTGTTCGATTGTCTGTAAGCCGTGTAAGAATTGATGCACTTGATGGGTAAGACACATTTGACTGGGGCGAGCCCCACCATCACTGCTTTTGTCAGTTTTACGTTCCATGTATCATTATCTGTAGGTATACCAGCAGAACAAGAAGCGTCCGTCATTTTTTAGATTGATGTCTAGATAAATGTAGATCAACGATCTACACACAAAGCGCCTGTATATTAACAAACCCGAATAATTTTCAAGATATTCACATAAAAAATGTAAAACCGTTTCCCGCGTAATGAATCCCGGTATGTCGTCGACGTATAAACTTAAAAAATGAACCTCGTTTATGATTTATTGCGTACTAGCCAAATTTTTTAATAAAACGGCGATTAGCACTTATCGGTGATGTTATTTATTTAAATTGCGTGCCGTTTAATTCCTCGTTTATAAATCTGCGTAGGGCAGCGTGGGCGGAGTTGTCGCTGGCGTGCGGTGGCTGAAAATTTTAACCACTTTTGATTCCCATTTTTTCGGGGATTTATTTCACTCACCATTCAAAGCTTTAATATACTTACCAACTTAAAAAAATATCCCTGACGTTATATGTAGTCAAAGTAATGGACCAAAAAATTCCTCTCTTAGAAACAAACTGTTTAAAATGGCGGCAAGCCGCCATCTTTGTTATAAATTAATAAGCAAGCGAGGTTCAACCGCTACCCAAAGTCCATAGTACATTGAATTTAAAATTACAAAAGTGAGTTTATTAATCTAAATAATAATAATAATAAAATGTATATAGTAGAATTTTTAAAATAAGCCTTCGAGAATGTTCCGTTATCAAACCATTTTCTACTTTTTCGTTTTTCGAGATTCTTACGTCGACCCTAGGCCGTTTTTAGGCCGGGGAGTGCCACCAAACCGCGTAGGGTTGGCGTATCGCAGATCCCGCGGACGCGCTTGGGGGCTAATTAATGGTGGTCAGTTATTATCGAGATATTTGGCGTTTGGCATATATGCCGTCCCCATAAACAAGCGCGCATTCTGATCGAATCGCGATTGCGAGTTCCAAGAGCAAGTCTTGGTCTTACCTTCCCGTGCTCTACCATCTACCTGCAGGCCAGCGGGCTCTCACCTGCTGATTCGGCGATCGCGAGCGAGAAGAGCCGACGATCGGACCGTAGGGACACCAACAAATTGAAGGACTTCGGCGCGCGCGCATTGTGGTTAGTGCCTTGGGTATTCAAAAGAGTCTGAACAAAGCGCGGAAGAAAGGCGATTTTTAATTGTTCTAAAATTAATAGAGGTGTTGTGGACTGCATGAATATCGCAAGATTAATTTGATAGATATGATTAGCAATAGTTTGCGTTCATGTTTCTATTCTTTGGCCTGTAAGTACAATTAGACCTTATTTTTATGTAATAAAATTTTGAAATTTGTAAGTTCAAGCGCTTGATTGGTAAAATTGTGAACTGCAAATACCCGGTCGAAACATGGCGGTCACCAGACGCTGAACAGCGCCGTATCGTATCAGTTATTTTATCTTGAGCTAATTTAGTTGTGAAGTTTTTTGTTTGTTTGACTTCCCTGGCAAGAATTCATGATCTAAATAAGTCTTGGAGGATCTTTACCATAGGGGTTGTTCCAGCATTGTTTAGTTTAGTTTTGTCTGGTGAAAATGAGTAACGAACGGGCGACTGGCACAGGAGTGTTCTTGTAAAGCCTTTCAGTTTTGTGAAGTTCACGTAAATTTTAAAGCGGTTGTTGAAGACGATCTTTACCAGAGATGCTAATAATTGATAAAATTTGAATGGTGTACAAAAATCGTGTGCGGAGAATACGGTACGCGTCCCTTGGGAGTCGTTTGGAAGTAAAGGTGTTTTTTTGGTTCGGTTGTGGGATTTGGGTGAAAATGAGAAACTGTGACCGAGTGCTTCGGCGGCAGCACTTTATTGCGAAACTTTGCAGTTAATTGAAGGGTTTTTTTGGGACGAGTTGTCTAGTTTGCAATTCTCAAACGGGTGACTGGGAGAGGAACGTTCGTGCGAAGCTTTTCATGTCGTCGGTGTGTGTAATGTTTTGCGGGCTCGGGCCCGCCGCGTTGCCGCTCAGCGCACCACGCCGTTCCGGCGAAGACCCGCTCCGCGGAGAATTGTCGAGCAGAACGCGTTGGTCCGTTTGGAAGAAATCACGTTCTGCGACTGTGAGACTCTCGCGCGACGAACATGTGCCGGGACAATGAGAGCTTCTGGTGGCGATAGGCCGGGACCCGAGAATGGCGAGTGCCCCTCGATAGGGCCTTGGTGTTTAGTGCAAAGTGCTCTTTGGTGCCCTCGCGATGGCCGCGGTGAAGAAGTGCAGTTTGATCCTGCCGGGGTTTAGAACCACCTCCTGCCTCACCGTGGTGCTGCTGGTCTGCATGGAGACCATCTTCCTGTGCACGCATTCCACCTGCTCGAAGACGTTCCACGTCCACTGGAACACCAGCGATAGCATGTAAGTACGGAGGGCAGGCACCGCGCGTCCGCCGCTATTGTTCTTGGCTTCGAGTTCGCAGGCTAACGAACAATCGGGGGAAGCGGTCAATCAGACGGGGTGTGCTATTCGAAGCCTCGGCCAGCGGTCGCGGAAATCGCCTTAACAGAACCGGCGAATCCGCGACATCTCGCAAGAATGCAGGTTTTGACATCTCGCAACACGTGTTTTACGGGCGACACGCAAAAAGCCGCATAGTAATGAATTCGGAGAACGTCCAGGTAGCTTTTTGCCGCGGCGGCCGGGGTGAAATTGAAAGTGTGGAGCGTCGCGGGCGCGTCTGACGATCGCCGAAAAAATGTCATTACGCGACAACATTATCATTGGCAACGGCAAAAACGTTTTGTCAAGTGCTCATTTAATAATAAAGCGCGAAATCCACTTAGACATTCAAGTTTTTCTTGTTCTCGGGCGCGACTCTGCATAATTTCGCATTTAAACTTAGCCAAATTTAATCCGCCGGGTTATTCGATTCGATTCCGAACGTACAAATCACACGCTAACATCTATATTCGATTCCTCGGACTAAATGCTATTTAAAATTTCCCGATCCGTCTGCATCCGCGCCGCAGGGTGTTCTATATCAATATTTTTGTTAATTTATAAGAACCGAATCAAATTTGACATTTAACCCCAAATTTACATAAATACGTTACGGAAATGTATCATTTTGAGAAATTATAACCCCAACGTTTTACAATTTTGCATTAAATAAACACCGAATACCCAATTCGCTGCCGGCTTTTTCTTATAATCACCACTCAACCCAGCCCTATTCCATGCAAATTATTCATTTCGCTAATTCTAGACGCCGTTCTACCGCAACATTTTTTAATGAAAGTTTCTGCGGTATTTTGAAATCACTACTTTTCCGTTACCGACCTTACTAAACCAATATGCGAATGCAATGTCGGTAATAACTTCTATTTTAAGACACCTTCGCTATTATTGTTTGTTGATTTAGGCGATTTTAATGTTGTTCATATCTGAAGAAGTAATTTTAGATAATCCAAATGTTTATACCGGCACTAATGGACATTTTATAGGACCACTCCTGCGATTTTTCCCGCAAAAATGAATATAATCTTTCTGTTATTTTCGATCGGTTTATTAGCACCCATAAAATTCCTTGACAGTTAATGTTTCTTCCATTCATTGCAACAAAAATTAAGGTGACTACAATTCGGCAACTTTTTGTATGCCATTAAAAGATCCCCGCCAAACCGACAATTTCAAGCTTCGAAAGCCATAACTTCATCCACTAATCATAAATTATGACTGCCTCGTTTATGGGGGATTGATCCGAATATTTTATGAATTTAAGCGAATTTTATTTTTTATTCTCTCTAATAAATAATGCACATAATAAATAAGACTTTCACAGGCAACTAAACGAAAGAGTGCAACTCCTTATTCAATTTAAATATTCTTTTTAATATCAATTTTATATGAGCAAATCAATAGTAGGAAAACTCTGATCTACAATTTTCTTGATAACTGAAATTATATCTCTCTTTTATTTCTACCCAAATTCTTTCGATGCATTTTAATCGATATGTACAAAGAATCGTCGACATATTTTTATTCCACTCAGATTATCAATTTGACTGTGCTTTCGAGTAATAATTCATTGTTTCATTAGAGTATGGCTTTAAACTATCGATACTTCTGCATTTTTAATTTTGACCTAGTAATACTCATTATTACAGGGTAGATGTCGCCAAACGCGGTGCCGCCTATACGGTGGTCTCTCTAGCAAATATTTTATCATTATTGGCCTATATTAACATGAACTACTCTCGATGGTTGAATCCTGCCTCTCTTGACAGAATTAATTAGAAGTTTCACAAACACAAAAACCTGACCAAAATCATGCACGTAGATAACAAATAATCTAGGCCCGGTTGCACTTCCCTGAGCAACTCCTCGTAGGTGCCGTTAAATCCATTTTTCCAAAATGCATTCAACTTGATAGATATATTATACATTGGAATCCAATCATTTTGGTGCTATAGTCCCTTTTGTGTTGTGAGTAATTAAATTGTTATTTAATTTTGTTTTAGTACAAAACACTGACGAAAAATATAAAATTCGGAGGTAATTGTATTGAATATGGGCCCACTTATTCTCCCTTGGGGAACTCCTAGGTGCCTAGAGTTTAAATCTGATATATAGTGACTGCAACTTCGCGGTATTTTTAAGACATTTATCGTGATTGCAGCCATCGGAATTCTAACGCTGTGTTAGTATCAATTTTCGAAATCTAAGCACGGCTTGGACAAGTCTGGAAAACATCCACGTATGCATTTTTTAAGAAGGGGTTATATTTTAAATATGAGATAATAGTTATAACTAGGGGTTACCTCAAGTAGTTTTAGCTACCCTCGGGTGTAAAGCTTTCTCACGATCCAGTGTTCGTAAGAGCGGTGAAATGCATGGCGAAGATTTCAGAATTTCGCACATTCGCTTCGAAACTGGAACCCGACCGCTGTGCTTTATTTAAACCCGTTAAATTTCACCTGGAAGAGATTGTACATGTAGTACTGACGTGCTTATAAAACATGAACATTGCAGACAAAAGTACAGGAGGTAGTTGCGCAGCTGCAAAAAATCCTCAGCTACTGCTAGGAGACATTTAGTTTGGGTTGTTGTATTTTATTTGATTATTATATTATGGCTGCGAAGTTTGTTGATATTGCCAGTGAAGCTAATTGTTAATTTTTGGTGGAGAAATGTTATCGTTGGATCGTGACGGAGCGAGAGAAGTACTTTTTGGTTTTCTAACTGGGCTAGCACACTTTGGCTGTCCGAGGATGTAGCCGAGTTAATCTTATAATTTAGCGATGAAATATCGATTTTAAATTATGAAGTGCCGATTCGTCAAATTATTCACCAGGCCGGCAGGTCGAACAGTCATGCCTAAGAGATGTGGGTTAAAACAGAGTTCGTGAGTTAGCTTTCTCCACCAACAGCTCGGTTATCGGCAAGAGAACGTTGTCGATAGCTGATCAATTGCTGTCAGGAATTTCATCATTTATTTGAATATATAGTATAGTACTTTCAAATCGGCATGGAAGAGTGTCCCTGACTGTTATAAAATGCGGCATTTTTCTTCTCACCACGTCGGATCCGTCGCGTCGTCTTTGTTCATTCCGAACCTATATTGTTTGAAGTAGGGGAATTTCAGATATTTCTGCTAAATTTCAGGTAAAATTCTTCAATTAAAACACAATACAGAAACGGAGTGGATTTCGGAATATTCCGAAATGAACAGGAGCTGGAGGATAATCGTGTTAAATTTCGTTTATTGTCGAGATAAACAACGACCAGTGTGGACTAGAAAATTTCGAGAATCAACCACAATACATTCCGAAAATGGGCAAATTAGTAGTAGAGACGCGGGGAACGATTTTCAATAAAACACCACCGAATTGAAACCCAACATGAAACATTTAATATTTGCAGACCGTTGAATTTACCTCATAATTAAAATTGAATTAGTACCTCATGGTATCAGGAATTAGGGCAAACGAGAGACAAAATCTCCGGAAGCTGTCGTTTCAAAAACATATTTCAAGCGGGGTATTAACGGCGTTCCGAATAGAAGCCTAAATTTAATAAAAAAATTACCCGCACAGAGTTGTTTGTTTCAATTTAGTCAATTAAAATTTGCAAGAATTGCGGCTGGGTTGGGTGTATGAAATAATGTATTTTTTAAATATCGCGCGGCGGTATTTATTACAGGCTCAGTTGTTAAATGCAAAATGTGAGATATGTGAAGCTTATGTTATTAAAGTTCTTTGTTCGTGTTCGCGTCGCGGCCATAAGGCCTTCTAGGTATATATTTCTATAGTTATGACGAGTTGCAAGCGGTCCCTTTCAATGGAAACAACTTTCCACCTCCTCATGATTAATGGCGTATTAATTATCTTCAACAGTTTGTAATATTGAATAAAATTTGACCGCAATGGTTGGAGAACACAAGCGTTTTCAATATGCATTGTTCCGAATCGTTCTAGCCCCTCGAAACTTCATTCCGTTTCGTAGATAATACTGTCGAGATCGTACAGAATATGCTTCTTTTTATTATTATTTTGAAATGTGAGCTTTGTGCAATTTCGACGGCATAAAATCAATTTCATTACTTCTAAAAACGACTAGTTTTTTAAGCAAACAAATCCGCCTCGTACAAAAATCGATTCCGTCCCGCCGAACGTGGAAATTTAACGTAATTAAATAATAGACTTTTGAATTCTTTGTCATCCGCTATTATGCTTCCATGTTGGAGGAGATCTCGCTATGCTAATGCATCACATTTAAATTTTTTGCAAGTTTTAATGAGCTTACGGCTCCTGTGTCCTAATAAAAGCGTAGAGGGGATTAAAAATCATCTTCCATCGCCATTTGTGTATCGATGATAGCAGGGAACGGCAAATGGCGTACTACGTAACATCTCAACCTTTGCGACGCGCTTTAACTTCCGCCCTTATGTTTACTGACCATCCAGTATCGTCCATTTGACCTTTTGCGACGCGAAAAAGTCAAAGGTGCACAGTCACAAACCTACTCAACCAATATCTATTATTTCAGCTCAAAATATCAGACGTTTCGAATTAATTTGTAACGTTGGAAAGAGGCTTTGCAACGCGAACCAACGTAAATTGACGTAAATCCTCGATGGAAGGAAATGAATCGGTTGTTATAGGAATCGTTTTAATTGTTAAGCATTTGTCGAGTACTCATACGTACGACGATGCCATTAATATGATAGAGACTTGTTTGCAAATCAGCTTTTCAGCTTAAATCGACTCACGATGATGCTTCGGGGAACAGACGTCTAAAAGATGACGTGACCAGATTCCACCTTCCACATCTCGACATGCTCACACAAATGCAAACAAAGCCAATTCGTTCGGAAAATTGCTCTTAATTTGCATACACCATGCACCAATTCGTAGACT